CTGACGCAGAGCCCTCGTCTGGGCCTTCCCCAGACTCCAGGACTGGCCCATGTTCCTTCCCAGCCTCCTCACTGTCTGACTTCACTGCCAGCTCTGCAGGCTGCTGGCGGACCACAACAGTTCCAATATCTCAAGGGCTGCCACAAAGAAAGAGGAGTCAAGCTATTCTCCAAAGCACCTGAGGGCAGGACAAGAAGCAACAGATGGAAACTAATCAAGGAGAGAAGCAACCTAGAACTAAGGAGAAATTTCCTGACAGTGAGAACAATTAATCAGTGGAACAACTTGCTTCCAGAAGTTGTGAATGCTCCAACACTGGAAGTTTTTAAGAAGAGACTGGACAACCATTTGTCTGAAATGGTACAGGGGGTTGCATTGGAAGACCTCCAAGGTTCCTTCCAACTCTTAATTCTATTCTATTCTAAATCCCCATCAGTCAATTGCAAAAGGCAGCTTTGCTGGGAACAGCTTACATTTCGGTATGAACATTTCAACACCGTCAAACCTTCCCATCTGCCTATCCAAGGTCCTTGGGTAGTACTCGATAGGTGGATAAAAATGCCAAATCCAGTCTGAACATATGGCTGACTGCAAGACCAACCATAATAAACATTTATTAAATAAATACCCTACCCGACTTCCAGAAACTCTGAGCCAGGGGTGAAATGCTACCGGTTCAGACCGGTTTGACCGAACTGGTAGTGACGGCAGTGGATGGTTCGGAGAACCGGTAGCAACGGCAGCGCGAGGCCCCGCCCACCCACCTGGTCATGTTTTTTACAGTGTGAGGCTCCGCCCACCCGCCTGTTTTTTAACCTCTGCACATGCACTTCCGAACTGGTAGGGAGATTTCACCTCTGCTCTGAGCAGTTTACAATGGAAGTGAGATAAGAAAGATTTGACTTCCAGTGGCATTTCCCCCCCACTTCTTCTTTCTCTTTTGAGTATATTGTCATCATCTTCTCATTTACCTGCTGTTACACTACTGTGGCTCCATGATTTCATGGAGGGGTGTGTTGTTGTCGTTGTTTTGCAGTTTTTAAGGACTGTATTTCTCTTGCCTGTCATCCAGACAACCTGTGCGTAGCGTACGCATCTCTAGAACTGGGTTCCCTTTTGATGAGGTCATGGAAATGCTTTCTTAGTGATCGTGCCAACAATGTGGACGTGGCTCGCCACTGATCCCTTCTGGAATGTGGTTCTGACTTCTCAGTCTAGCCAGTAGTCCTGGAATTTTGTGGTACTCTCCAATCCATGTACTAATCATACATGAATCTTTCTGAGATTTGCCAAGGTTGACTAGGCGCCCTGACTGAGACAATTTGCATTAGACCAATAAAGGAGAATATTTGTAGCTCAGAGTTGAAATTGAAACTGGGTAACATCATCAGTACACCTACCCTGTTTCCCTGAAAATAAGACCCAACCGGAAAATAAGCCCTAGCATGATTTTTCAGGATGCTCGTAATATAAGCCCTACCCCCAAAATAAGCCACAGTTAAGATCGTCATCAGACGGAGGCGTTTAGTATTGTATTTCCCCCAAAATAAGACCTAACTGGAAAATAAGCCATAATATGTCTTTTAGAGCAAAAATTATTTATTTATTTATTTATTTATTTATTTATTTATTTATTTATTTATTATTTAAATTTATATACTGCCCTTCTCCCGAAGGACTCAGGGCGGTGTACAGCCAAAAATAAAAACGTAAAAATATAAAATGTAAATTAATATAAGACCCAGTCTTATTTTGGGGGAAACACGGGTAGTTTGATAATGAAACATCTGCAAGAAAACCACCAAGCTCAGAGAGCACCAAGGACCCCTGATTTGCATTATAGGACGACTATCTAGGGATGGTCATTGAACAAATAAAAACTGCAAAAGTCAGCACAACAAGCTTGCCTTGAGCTGGGCTAAAGAGATTGTTCCTATTCATGCGCTCTTGTCTTCGGTAGAGTTGAAAAAATAGCAAGCTATTGTGCCATTTAGCTATTAGGATTATAATCAATCAAAGGAATATTGTTTGGAGTCTCTCTGATTTCCCCATCCTGATAATCCCAGATGGATGTCAAGGTTTTGCAGCAGTTATCCAAGTATCCAGAGAAGGTGGTTAAGGAAAGTCAAGATGATGACTATGGGATATTTAGATTAGATGAGATTAGATGAGATTAGATTAACAGTGTTGGAAGGGACCTTGTAGGTCATCTAGTCCAACCCCCCGCCCAAGCAGGAGACCCTACACCATTTCTGACAAATGGCAGTCCAATCTCTTCTTGAAAGCCTCCAGTGATGAAGCTCTCACAACTTGTGAAGGCAACTTCTGTTCCATGGGTTGATTGTTCTCACTGCCAGAAAATTTCTCCTTATTTCCAGGTTGAATCTCTCCTTGATCAGTTTCCATCCATTATTCCTTGTCTGGCCTTCGGGTGCTTTGGAAAATAGCTTGACCCCCTCCTCTCTGTGGCAGCCCCTCAAATATTGGAAAACTTGCTGTCATGTCTCCCCTGGTCCTTCTCTTCACTAGACTCCAATCAAAGCTCTGCCTGGTTTGGTTTTAGACATTACATCCATGATGTATGTAAAAATGGGAAGAGCTTCGGAGATACCTTCAAGACCAACATCTTGAGCTTTTTGACAGAAGACATTCCTACATCTCAGTTTCCCTTAATCTGACATCTGCCAAATGTACTTAGATTGGAGTTCCCATACCATCTGAGCAAAGAAGATGGTTGAAGTTACAATGCAAATACCTGCGCTGGAAATGCATTGGATGAAAGCTAATCAAGGCGAGAACCAACCTAAGGAGACATTTCCTGACAGCGAGAACAATGAATCAGTGGAACGCCTTGCCTCCAGAAGTTGTGGGTGCTCCATTTGTGTGAAATGGTATAGGGCCGTGATGGCGAACCTATGGCATGCGTGCCACAGGTGGCATGTGGAGCCATTTCTGTGGGCACGCGAATCGTTGCCCTAGGTCAGCTTCACCGCACATACGCTCGCGCCTCCCACCAGCCAGCTGATTTTTGGGTCTCTGCCACGCATGCGGGAGACACGCACGCTTGCCCATGCCGCCCCGCCCATCCCAGGAGTCTCCATGCGGCCCATTTTGGATGCCAGGGAATTACAGGGCTCGCGTGGAGGCTCTGGGAGGGTGAAAGACAGGCCTCCCCAAAGTACCGAGAGTCCAGAAATGGGCCATTCCCAGCCTCCGAAGGGTCTCCGGAGGACCAAGGGAGGCTGTTTTTGCCCTCCTGGAGGCTCCAGAAAAGCCTCCGGAGCCTGGGGAGGGCGAAAAACGGGCCTACTGGAAGTCCGGAAATGGGCTGTTTCCGGCCTCCGGAGGCTTCAGGGAGGTATGCTAGGCCCAAAACGGGGCATGGGGGGTCATGCGTACCCATGCGCAGGGGGGCATTGCATTATGGGTGTGGGCACATACGCACATGCTATTGTGCGTGCACACGCATTTTTGGCACCAGAGGGAAAAAAGGTTAGCCATCACTGGTATAGGGTCTCCTACTTGAGCAGGGGGTTGGACTAGAAGACCTCCAAGGCCCCTTCCAACTCTGTTATTCTGTTACCTCCAACCCAAAGGACAGTTCTTGACATACAACAGTTCATTTAGTGACCGTTCAAAGTTATGACGGCACTGAACAGAAGTGAGTTATGACCATTTTTTCCACACATACGACCGACCGTTACAGCATCCCTATCAAAATTTAGACACTTGGTAAATGACTCGTATTTATAATGATTGCAGGGTCCCGGGGTCATGTGATCCCCTTCCGACAAGCAAAGTCAACGGAGAAAGCCAGATTCACTTAACAACTGTGTCACTAACTTAACAACTGCAGCGATTCACTTAACAACTATGGCAAGCAAGGTCGTTAAATGGGGCAAAACTCACTTAACACATTGCTCGCCGAGCGACATAAATTTGGCGTTCTTTTTGCAGTCGTAAATCGAGGACTACCTGCATTACATTTACGCAAGACAATCCGACTGCTGAATTAGTTCCCTCCCTGGTGTTTGCAATACAAACCCAGAAAATGGGTAGAGGTTGAAGTCACAAGATGCCCGATCAAACTTAAGAGGGATCTTACTATGTGGCACAAAATGCTAAGTCTAAAAACTCCAACCTGTTTGCATAACAACCCCAGAGTCCACGATGCGATGTTAATTTTAACCCCAACTTGTATTGTTCTGAGAATCAACTTATTATTTTAAAGTCAGGTGCTTTTATTTCCCCTAATCTATTTCCTAAGAGAATAGAAAGCCAAGCTGTTCTCCAGCACACATGAGGATTGGGTTGGTAGAAAACAGTAAAATGATGCTTTCATTTGAAGTTCATAGTGGGACATTCAGGAATGTCCCACTATGCCCTCCAGATATATTGAGAATAGGTGGCTGCTTACATCACCCTATGCACAGCTTTTATCAATGGGAATAGAGGTGGAAGGGACCTTGGAGGTCTTCTAGTCCAGCCCCATGCTCAAGCAGGAGACCTCACACCATTTCAAACAGGTCTCATTTCAAACAGGTCTCCTCTTAAAATCCAGTCTCTTCTTAAAATCCTCCAGCGATGAAGCGCCCACGATTTCATGGAGCTGCTCCTTTAGGTTAATTATTCTCATCGATAGGAAGTTTCTCCTTAATTCCAGGTTGCTTGTCTCTCTGGATTAGTTTCCATCCATTGTTTTCAGCCAGACCATCGATAACCATTCATGATTCCAGCCAATGCTTACGACTAGTGGCTCAAAGATTTCTAAACGCCTCCTATAAAACTGTTCACAAGTTATGGCATACAGATATCTCCCCAAACTCCGGAATGTGAAACTTACACACACATCACATTTCCCACCCACCCCCCAGTTTACATTTTTGCAATAAGGTCCCCCCAAATTCCTTCTCTACCAACCATATGCTAAAGACAATCCCTATTCAATACCGGAAGCAATCCGGGTAAAATTCATCCCTAAATCAAGTAGCAAGACTCACATCAAAGCGCTGCATCTTTTGTCCCCCTGAATCTTTCCTCTTGTCCCGTCCTCTCTCTCTCTTTTTTTTTCCTCTCAGTTTTCCTCAGTTTCTTTTTCTTCTCCCTCCTGGATTTCTGCAGCTTTCTCCCTCTTTGAAGTCATGCTAGGAAATGCAGCAGAGATAGTAAGGAGAAGTGTGAGTAAATCTGCGCAGACAATAAGCCATTTTTTTCTCTTTTTTTTTTTCCCTTCGCATTTCGGTCCAACCTGCTCTTCCAGTTTGCATTTCTTTAACCCAACAGCTGAAAGGAGGTTCACTGGAGCTGAAGCTGCCAAACCAGTCTCGCTATAATACAAAGAAGTGGTCAGACGAGTCCTTCACAAAGTCCACATAGAGATTTGATTGTTTTCCCATAATTACAGCTCAGTGTTGTTGATCAAAGACACTCATATTAACAAAACAATTGCCACTTCCTTCCCCCCCACCCCAGCTTCCTGCTCCCCTTCAATCACTGAACATCAGGAGTATATGGTTTTCTTTGACAATTTCAGTTTTTATACATCAAGCATAACGTTATTTAGATAAATAATAATAATAACTTTATTATCATTGTACATGTATACACAGTATACCCATACAACGAAATTCACTTAATACCCAAAGACCAGGTCCAACACACATAACAATCCCCAAACATGCTCCCTCCCACCACAAATTCCCCACCCCTAAACCACCCAAACATTCACACAACAGACCAAGAAATGCTGTCCAACAGCTCACTGATGGTGGCCCTTTAGTTCATTGTTGAATGTAATTATAGCTCTGGGATAAAAACTATTCAGAAAACGTGTGGTCCGAGTTTTAATTGTTCTGTATCTTCTGTCAGAAGGCAACTGCCCAAAAAGTTGGAACAGAGTCGGAAGGGACCTTGTAGGTCATCTAGTCCAACCCCCTGCTCAAGCAGGAGACTCTGCCATCCCCGACAAATGGCTGTCCAATCTCCCCTTGAAAGCCTCCAGTGATGAAGCTCCCACAACAAGACGTTTCGCTTCTCATCCAAGAAGCTTCTTCAGCTCTGACTGAAGGGCGGGCAATGATTTCAGTGCTGTTGTAACTTCCAATGGTCACTAAATGAAAGGTTATAAGTCGAGGACTATCTGTAGGGCACCCCCTTTGAAATTCCCCTCTGGATCTTGGCACCTTAGCAAACATTTATGGTGTAGTTTTGGGACTTCGCAATGTTTAAATCTTTTTTTTATTGGCTCTTTTTTTATCAGTTGAACTATCTCCTCAATTTTTCATATTTAAGAAATAATAGAATAGAATAGAGTGGGAAGGGACCTTGGAGGTCTTCTAGTCCAGCCCCTTGTTCAAGCAGGAGAACTTATACCATTTCAGGTAAGTGACTGTCTAGTCTCTTCTTAAAAACCTCCAGTAATGGAGTGCTCACGATTTCTGGAGGCAAGCTGTTCCACTGGTTAATTGTTCTGTTAGGAAAGTTCTCCTTAATTCTAGGTTGCTTCTCTTCTCTCCTTGATTAGTTTCCAACCATTGAGCATTGCAGGAAGGCTGTTTTAATGCTCAGCGTGCCAATTGTCAGTTTTTCTTCCATTATTCTGAGCCCCCAACCGCAAATTTGGAAAAGAAAAGTTCTCAAGCAAAAAACCGACCACTGAAGCATCCCTCATGGTCACGTAATTAAAATGTGGAAACTCGGCAACTGACACATATTTATGAAGGTTGCAGTGCCCCCGGGTCATGTGATCGCCTTCAGAGACCTTCTGGCAAGCAAAGTCAATGGGGTAGCCAGATTCACTTAACCATCAGGTTACTGACTTAAGAATTGCAGTCACCTAACAAATGTGGCAAGAAAGATTTTAAAATGGGGCAGATCTCACTTAACAAATGCCCCATTTGGGAACAGAAATTTTAGACTCCTTCCCATCTCCTTCCTTCCTTCCTCCCTCCCTTCCTTCCCTCTCTCCCTCTCATCTCCTTTCTTCCTTCCTTCCCTCCCTCCTTCCCATCTCTTTCCTTCCTTCCTTCCATTCTTCCTTCCTTCCTTCCCTTCCTCCGATTTCCTCCCTTCCTTCCCTCCCTCCCTCTCATCTCCTTCCTTCCTTCCTTCCCTCCCTCCTTCCCATCTCTTTCCTTCCTTCCTTCCTTCCTTTCTTCCTTCCCTCCCTCCCATTTCCTTCCTTCCTTCCTACCTTCCCTTCCTCCCATTTCCTTCCTTCCCTCCCTCCCTCCCATCTCTTCCCTTCCTTCCTTTCTTCCCTCCCATCTCTTTCCTTCCTTCTTTCCTTCCCTCCCATCCTCTCACCTCCTTCCTTCCTTCCCTTCCTCCCATTTCCTTCCTTCCTTCCTTCCTTCCTTCCTTCCTTCCTTCCTTCCTTCCTGTTCTGAAGCAGTATTAATTATTTCTGTAAACTACATAGCGGCTGACCTTCAATGAGACGACTTTCCTTGACATAACTTTATCTTTCATCTTGCCCCTTTGGGCAAGGGGATTGGGGTCTACTCTGAATGTCCTCTATTGTCTTTTGTTGGTGAAGTAAATGGCCCGGTAAATAGCAGAGACTGTGGGAAAACACCAGTTAGTTTCACTACCTTGAAGGGAAAGTATTGATTTCTCTGACGGGTTTCAAATCGTGAGACATACTTTGGATCATGCCCTCGGGGCAATGACTTTCCATTCTTTCACCTCAGACAAATCTTGTTCATAAATTACCTAAAAAAAATAAAAATAAAAATAAAAGAATGGCAGTATTCTTCTCTTCAGGAAGAAAAGGCTAGTGAAGAGTCTTGGCAGGTTTTTTGGGGTTTTTTTTTTAAATATTTTTTTTATTTTCTTTTAATACAAAACATTCCATCATTCATTAAACAGTGTGTCATTATATCTGACAATATTTTCCATATTTGACCTTCACTAACAGCTGCCTTTGTGTGTTTTGAAAAATGTCAGCCATAAAGTCAAATTGGAGCGTCTGAGGCATTGGGGCTAGTAGCCAATGCCTACTCTACTTGATTCCTGTTGAGTTGGGATCATTCTGAAAAGGAGTGTCAACCCTACAAGGTAGACCAAACCAGAAAATCAACTCCCTAGGACAGGGGTCTCCAACCTTGGCAACTTTAAGACTTGGGGACTTCAACTCCCAGAGTTCCTCAGCCAGCAAAGCTGAACCTTCCATTCAGGGGTGAAATCCAGCAGGTTCTGACAGGTTCTTGAGAACTGGTAGCAGAAATTTTGAGTAGTTCGAAGAACCGGCAAATACTACCTCTGGCTGGCCTCAGAGTGGGGAGGGAATGGGGGATTTTGCAGTATCCTTCCCCTGCCACGCCCACCAAGCCACACCCACAGAACCGGTAGTAAAAAAAAAATGGATTTCACCACTGCTTCCATCCCTCTTATACCCCAATAAACCAGGGAGGTTTTTTTATAGAATAGAATTCTTTATTGGCAAAGTGTGATTGGACATACAAGGAATTTGTCTTGGTGCATACACTCTCAGTGTACCTAAAAGAAAAGATACATTCGTCAAGAATCATAAGGTACATAAGGTACAACACTTGATGATAGTCATGGGGAACAAATAAGCAATCAAATCGTATTAGGAAATGGTCAATATAAATCGTAAGGATACCAGCAACAAAGTTACAGTCATACAGTCATAAGTGGGAGGAGATGGGTGATGGGAACAATGAGAAGATTAATAGTAATGCAGACTGAATCTGAATCACCTCCAAATATTATGTCTATGGAGATAGCAGTGTTCCTGTATTTGAGGGGCTGCTACAAAGAAGAGGGAGGGAGGGAGGGAGGGAGAGAGAGAGAGGGGGGGATTTATACCCCTAGTTGGGCTTTGAATTTGAACTTGTATTCTGATTGGTTGTCAGACTCCCATGGGGCCATGCAGGGGTAACTTTGTAGATTGTCTTTTGAGTCCCAGGCTTGGTTAAGCCTTGCTGGGTGATGCAATCTCCCCAGGTGCTATGTGGTGAGTTCTGTTGCTAGATGGGTAGAGGGCTAATCTTACCTTTGTTGGATCTTGGGTGAGGGTATTTACTTATGAATAGACCTAGCTATCTCTTTATCTCCTAAGTGCTGACATCTGCTGTGGGCTATTGAGGAGGGTGGGCTATTAAGAGTGAGTCTGCTTCCTGCCAAAAAAACATGTTTCTCCATTTCTCATCCAGGGAAATACAATAGTCTGCCTTTTTAATATTTCCTAGAATATTTCGTTCTTCTAGGAGAGGGGTGGGTGCTAACTTCCTACACTGTCTACAAGGTGTAGAGAGTTAGAAAGAATAAAATAACAGAGTTGGAAGGGACCTTGGAGGTCTTCTAGTCCAACCCCCTGCTCAGGCAGGAAACCCTACAACACTTCAGACAGATGGTTATCCAACCTCTTCTTAAAAACTTCCAGTGTTGGAGCATTTACAACTTCTGCAGGCAAGTTGTTCCACTGATTAATTGTTCTAACTGTCAGGAAATTTCTCCTTAGTTCTAGGTTGCTTCTCTCCTTGATTAGTTTCCACCCACTGCTTCTTGTTCTACCCTCAGGTGCTTTGGAGAATAGTTTGACTCCCTCTTCTTTGTGGCAGCCTCTGAGATATTGGAACACTGCTATCACGTCTCCTATCAGTGCTGCACTGATGATAATGAAACATCTACATTGATGATGTTCTCTAGTTTGGAAATGAAACGTCTGTAAGAAAACCACCAAGCTCAGAGAGCACCAAGGACTCCATAGTTCAACCCTGAGCTATAAACATTTTCTTCTATGAGTAGAGCGTTCTCACAAAGGGGAGAAATAGAGATAGAATTGACAGATGGGAGAAAAGAACCAAAGATTGGATCTTGGTCATGGATGAAATATCAACCAATATTGTAACAGCGGTCCCCACCCCTCTTTCTTATTCTCTCTCTCTCTCTCTCTCTCTCTCTTTCACACACATGTATCATGTTCTTTTGATTATTTAATATATGGAGCACATTCTTCCAGATACTTGCTTGACTTGCAAAATCAGTGATCAAAGTGGATTACATGTTAACTCCCATAATATTTGGCTGGCATTTTGAGACTTGCCTGTCCTTGCCCTCTTTCATCACTGGGTTAAAAAAAAAACCTTTTCACTTGGTACCAAACTATAAATTTGGCACTTTTTTTTTTATTGAAAAAGTTTTAAAACAAACACAATTTCCCCACAACCCCCCCCCCTCCCAACCCCCCTCCCCCTCCCCGACTTCCCAGAGCAGAACACAAGGTATTTCTATTGACCTTTAACAATAAACTAAATTGCATAACCAATCATTAAACTAACACCCC